AGATATAAGCTACATATAATATGTAAAGCTGAAATAATTTATACTATTTCTTTGTTCTCTTCTTCGAAATAGTTTTTCTCTTTTTTTCTAATGCTTCCATGCGCATATCCTCTAAATCTTCCATATATCCTATAAATATTTAATTTTAAATTATACATTAATAAATTATTTATACCTATGTTACAAAATTCTCATGTAAATGCTCATATAAATAAATACCTATTTTTGAAGATATATATTCTTCCTTTAATTGTTGCGCAAAATTACTTTCCATAGCAGTATCATCATCATCATCGATATTTCTATATTTACTCTTATCATAACCAAATATTTCGCTAATATGTTTACTATAATCTTCTTCATTATCTTCTGGCTCATCGTCTATGAAATCAATCAAATCTGAATCATCTTCCTCATCATCACAGATACGTCCTGCAAAATTAAATAGGTTTCAAATTATTATTAATTATTTGAGTTTTAAAATTCTTTAATCGTATTGCATAATTTATAAATAAAATTACTTTTATTGGATATTTTTTTGACGACTGTATTAGATTTTGTAGACCTAACATCAGATGGTGGAAATTGTTTTGGTTTAGTATTAGCTAATATGGATTGTAACTTTAAATCCGAAGGTGGATATTGCCGCGATTTAATGTCCTTGGATATTTGCTTATTTATAGATTTAGATTTAGTTATATTTAATTTGTCGCATGGTTCAGATTTTACATTTTCTATTTTATTTTTACTGTGTACTAATTTCTTCTTTTCTTCCTCGATAGCGCGTCGCATTTCCTCCAATTGTCTTCTCTCAGCTTCTAATTTTTTTCGTTCCTCTAATAATTCATTCTGAAATGAGCTCTTGTTTGAATTTGATTTTTCGATATTATGCTTAATGTCGAATTTATCAGTAATTTGTTTAGGAATGGTTGTTGCACATTTGGACATTTTATTCAGTGTTGAATTTGAGATTACAGATTTTTCATTAGCTTTAGGAATTCTGTTCACTTGTGTTTTATCAAGCTTGGTAGATGTATTTGTCTTTTTATTTGCCTCTAAATCTTTTTTTTCACGTTGCTCCTTCCTTTCTCTTTCTTGTATGTGTTCCATTTTTTGACGTTTTGTCATGGGTCGTTCATTTTCAACTTTTGGTTTAACTTCTACAACTACAGGTTCATGCTGCTTTACTTCGGCGAGTTTTAAAAGTTCCGCAAAACCTATAGGTGGTAGCGATGATTTTTTCTTCACTTTGGGTTTTTCGTCTTTGTTTTCTCTAACTTCTTTGACTTTGTTATTAATTTCTTTGTTGTTTTTTTCTACTTTTTCTTCAATTTCAGTTTCTTTTATATTTGAAATGTTCGATTTTCTTTTTTTCCTATGTCCACTACTTTCTTCAAGTTCTTGTTGTTTTAGAGCTTGTTTTACTCTATCCTATAACATATAAAACAATATTTAATTATATAAAATATGATAGAATATTATATATTTGTTATTCTTTTTTATTGATACGAAAAAATGATTTATTTCTTTTTATCAGAGAAAAAATAACGTGTATAAAATAAAAAATAATTATTATCATAAAGGATACTTTTTCGAAATTAAATTGTGAACTTTTAATATAATAATAGTAATATATAAATAAGCGGAGAAAAATATCCGAAATATAAGAGAAAGATATATATCAATCAATACTTAAATAATATTTTTATGAACTTTTTAAATTTCCAGTTTAAAACATACTTTATGATAGCTATTATTGTTTTATTACATATTTTTGAATTGCAATTATATTAAATTACACTCTCTCGAAATATTTTCTTTAATTTTTCGTAAAGAAATATACCTTTGTGGATGCAATATCTTTCACTGTTCTTTCACTAGCACTAAAAAGAGGTTTTTCCGGAGGTAAACTATTATATTTATTCATAAGTTGATTGTACAATGCAGAAGCTGCCTGAGATTCATATCCATAATCATCTTCATCAGGTTGAGATGGGCCTGTAGCAATATAATGAATTATATAAAAAATTATACTATAATAATGTATATTATAAATATATTTTAAGGATATACTTAGAGCAACATATCAGTAATATCATTTCAGTAATTATATAAAAATAAAGTTCCAAATACCAAGCACAAAACATTCATTTTATAGATAAGAAAATTCCTGATATTAATAAAATACCACGAAATAAAAGAGAAAAACAAGAATAAATACAGAGATGATATAAAAAATAAAATACAATAAAAAAAGATCGTTGAAAGAATAGTTGCGATGAAAAAAATGCAACAAACATCTCAATATAATCTAAGCTAAATCACATTTCTACTTTTTCTTTAACAATTGTCATATATGCATATTACATTTAACATCGTTTATTTAAATAACATTTAACATGAAATAAAAAAATAAAATAAACAATAAATAATGAAAAAAATTGTAAGACATTATGCATATTAAATGCACAATAAAAATTATTTTATTTTTATTTAATTTTATTTATTTACGGAAGAAAAAAATCAAAGTAATACAGCAACATGCATATATGTCTATTAATTTGATAAATATAAATTAAATCACGGCTTTCTCTCTACATTACTTCGAAAAAAATTCATAAATGTTATAAAACTGAGATACTATAGCAGACTTCATATACTTATGAGTTATCTGGATTATTTCGGAATAAGGCTGACCTTAAAGCATCCATCGCTGTGCAAACCCACTGTGAAATTGTTCTGCCTCGATTTGGGATGATGGATAAATAATATATTGTATTGCTTGTATATCCTGTGGGCAAAAATGTTGCCCATTATGGATAAATTTTTCTATTAATCAAGTTAATATCAAGACTACTTTTGTGTAAATAAACTATTTTTTGCTATAACTTTCATTTTAATGCCTTATAATCACTATACTTTTACAGTTTTATTACTTTGCAAATTACATAATGATACAATTCTATTTGTTTTACTTTAACAATACTTCACTGTTATTTAGAAATTTAACAGCACTATATTATAATTTTTCAAATGTATTAAAAAGGCTATACGTTGTAAAAAATAAAATAATTATAATTAAATAAAAAAATCTCTTGGTATTCTTGTGTGTTTGGAACTTTATTTTTACATTTTATTTCAAACTTGTCCTTTCTTACGATATGTAATTTTAGATAAAAATATAAAACAAACTCTCATAAAATCTATTTCATCTGTAAAAAAAAATTATTTAAGTATGTAAAATATTATACTACCTGCAATAGTAATAGCTGTATTTTCACTGTCAATGGCATCCTCAATCACCGACTTATTCGCTGCTTTACAAACTTTCAAGTGTTTGTTTATCCGATTTTGAGTCTTCTGATCTCGTAAAGCTAAAAGATTCTGAAAAAAAATATAACTTGATGTTACTACAAGACTTGAAATATTTAAAAATTTTTTTAGGAAAGATCATGGAATGCCTATAAACAGGAAATATAGTAGAGTAGTTTAATATTATATAGAATATTATAAAAAAATGAAAGGTTATTTCTTAAAACCTTTTTTTGTTATTAACTTTTTAACAAAGGATGAACGCTGGCTAAAACTTGTTGGAGATTACTTAGGATTATGACCTTCATAACATATGTTAAGATCATTGGAGATCTTTCCTAATGTGTATAGTTATTCAATAATATAAAGTTCAAATTTATTCATACAGATATATTAATTCAAGGTTTTAATTTATCTGGAGATAACGTAGCATTGAACAACTTTGAAGTTACATTAAAATCTGGAATGTCGTGAACAACGTAACGATTATTATTTAGAAAGCTCTGGAGTAGCTGCTAACTTCCATAATGAAGGTTTTAAGAATTAACGCGTTTTACGATATCATTTGTCCAAGGTGAGACAAACTGTCTATATTTAATTTGTTACCTTTTAATATAATCTAACTTAAATCTAAACAGTTAAAAAAAAGCCTCTCTTAGAAACTAACAAATAAATTTTGAAGACAGACGGAAATTTCCTTCCTTCAAAATCAAAATTTTTAATAATTTTTCTTCCAAGGAGAACCTTTTTTTCTTACATATGTTCTGGATATTAGAAGGGTATTTGTCCAGTTAAAAAAAAAAGAGGCTTTTCTTAAAAATCAATTTTGAAACACAATCTTTATATTCTCAATTAAATTTCATTTCTCAGAATAAAAAGGAATGTACACTCAACTGAGCCATGACATCATAAATAAAAATTATTTGATGAAAATGAAAAGCAACTATCTGGAGTTTATTCAGGATTTGATGTGAAACATACTAAGAACAGTTCTGGGAGACTTTATTACTTAATTATTTTAATGTAAATCCATATTTTCCAGTATATAAGAGAATTCATAATTAAAACCCTTATATTTCCTAATGCTACTAACTTACTTTTTATCCTTTTCTAAAAATTAGAAAAGGAGTAAGTTAAACCAAGATTAAAATTACCCTACATCGATGAAAATGGACATAAATGGAGTAATTTCTGCAAGTGGAAGATGCAATAAGTAATTGCAATATAGAATCATATTGTTACTCTTATCAAGAGCAACAATATGATTCTATATTGCAATGTCTATAATATGATTTTAAAAAGTTTCTTAAAACACACACACACACACACACACACACACACACACACACACACACACACACACACACACATATATTTCAAAGTGTCTTATAAAAAAATGAACAACTAAATACAAGGCTTTTCTAAAGAACACAAATTGTGACACAAAAAAATGTTAAAACAAAAGATATTTTAAAAATAAAAACTTAATACTGTTAAGAGCATAAAATATCCACCTCTTATTGTATACATACTCAAAAATCATATAAAGAGAGCACAAAATATAAATAAATTATTCAGATACTAATACAGCAATCTTTTATTATGCATTTTAACTCACTTCCTTTTTTCTTTTTTCTTCCAAGGCTTTTTGTTTCTCTTCCTCTTCTTTTCGAGCTAAAAATTTTTTGATATTATCAGAAAGGGTTTTAGATTGTTTAGACTGCTTCTTCAGTGGTGCAAATTTTGTTTGATAGCACTTAACAGTCTGCTGAAAAATAAATAAACGCTTCAAGAAGGATGGTCCACAGAGCAAAAAGCATCTAACTTAAATTGATCATTACATCGACACTTCGTCATTTGTAAATATGATATAAATTAAGCCTGTCCAATTTAAGCTCTGAAGCCAAAACACAGAGCCATTGACGTAAAAAAATTATAAATTCAATGTACAATTTTAGGAAGTATAAAGTGTTGATAAGCATCACTTAGATGCATATCAACATTTTATAGTCTACGAAATTTTACCTTGAATTTTTTTACATCAATTTGTTTTATGTTTTGGCTCCAGAGTTCAAATTAGACAGGCCTGATGTAAGTAAACATCGTAGTTGTAAATATAATAAGTATATATAGGAAGCTTTCCAGCAAAGATACAAATCGACATAGAATCATTCTATTTTTGTTCCTTACTGATTATCAAACAAGGACAGGATGTCTCTTGTATCAATTTGTGCCTCTTCTGAAAAGCTCTCTATGTATACTTATATATTATATCTACAATCATGATGTTTACTTATTAGAATTTAAGCTCAGGAACCAAAACGCAAAGCCATTGATGCAAAACAATATGTGTCTCTCTTGCTGGAAAGTTCTCATAGATGTCAACAATATGGACTAACCTGTTTTTTTACTTCATTCTTTTGCGCGACAGAGATCAAAGTGCCGAAATCCATTTTATTGGCGACGAGGATCGTAAATCAAAAAATTACCAACTTGCGATTTTACAAAATTGTCATGCGTTTAAATTAATGGATATTCTTCTGAGATTAATTTTCAGTTTAATTATCGACAGATTAATTGTCGATAGGCACGTCAGTGAAGTTTTAAACGTTTTAAATATTTAAACAAAAAGAGAAAGAGCTTTTAACGATAAACAGCAATATTAAAAGCTCTCCGCTTGAACATATTGTTGATAATTATTACAAAAGTACTCGATCTCCACTGAAGCTACCGACTCACGGATGCGGATAAATGCTATAAAACTTTCTATAAAAATATACAATCACGTTGTCAATGCACGCTATAACTGTACTCAACTACGCGCATCAAAATGCACCAACGTCGATTATTAACAATAGATAATAATAAAGGAATCTCTCATAATTTCTCACGTTTAACGAAGAGAACTACAAGTCCTCCATTTTGTGGCTAGGGATGGAGACGATGGAATATTCGCTGATCAATCGAAATAATCGATAGTTTTTTCCTTCGATGAATCGAGATTCGATTATTCGTTTAGGGTGCGATTTATGGTCAATGCTACAAATGTTTTGAAGCATTTTTAATTGGTCAGTTTGTAAAATTCTTTCTTCTAATTAATCCATCAAACGCTTCAAAGCATTTTTAGCAAGACTTTGACCACAGCCTATGGTTGTGTTCCAAATTGGCCTAGTTTACATCGTGCACTTGATCATACGTGTACTAACTAGTAACTTTCTATTAAATTATTTTAATTTCACCAATAAATTTAAAGAATGATGTACTAAATTGATACAATATACATCATAATTAATTAAATACATATATCATATATATGTTTCAACATATCTCCGAAAAATTAAGATCATTAATAGAAAGTAACTAGTTAATAGTAAGTGCACGATGTAACTAGGCCATAGGCCATTTGGTAACACTGGACAACACAGATGAGAGAAAATAAAATCACTAGCCTGCTTATAGTCTGCTACGTCCGCGCTGTCAAATATACTCGTTCACGCGTGTACTGAGTAATTGATGAGAATAAAGTCACGCATAAATAAAGTGACGGATACTACGTGGAAAAGAAAGAGGGACGGCTGTCTGTAGTGTATCTTATTACGTTACGTGTCAAGCATGTGGTATCGTGGCAAAGGAGCGGCTTTCCCGTAGCATCTCGTCCGCGTATCCGTCTTGTATATGTACGGAACAGAATGTGTTGAGAAGAAGCAGTTAATTTCCATTGATAAATTAAACATCGACGATATTTCTGCTCGCGTCAGGTACCGCCTCCCTTTTGCATCTGAAATTTCGTGTGATTAATTAACGTCGTCGATTTATGTTTCGATGCAACTTTAATTTGTTCTTTTCGTTCTGTATTTTATTTAATTACGGTCGTTCTCTTATACTTTTACACTGAATTTTATACTGTAAAAATTAAGATCTCGCTGTATGAAGTGTATTTACATGCTCGAAATTTTCACAGACTTGCACAGTCAAAGTTCTTTAAGTTTAAACTGCTTCTTCTATTGCAGGATTTCATGGGGCTTTCGATTGCGAATATGTTTTGAAGAGAAGATGCCATCTGAAACAGATGCCATGGGCAGTGTTTTCAAAGAAGAGGAGAATACTGAGAAATCTAACGAGCAATCTGTCTCATTAATGACCTTAAATTCTGAGAATAAAGACTCGATTGTATCTGCGAAACATATAGATACTCATCTGACCAATGCTAATGGTGACAAGGTATCCACGTCGGAAGTCAGAACCAAGTTTTTGAATTCGACTGAAGATGCAGTATCTACAAGTGATAACTTTGTAACGACAATTAACGTGCTTGAAGCAGAGAATTTATATCCTCAATCTAAGACAACAGGTAATGTCAATATCAAATTTGTGAATAATTTTAACTATTCATATTTTTAACATACAAAGAATTTTTGCAAAGTTCTCTTATTTAATCTATAGATGCAAAGGATGATAATAAAGATGTATTTCCTTCAAAATTTTAGATAGATTTTCAATACTGGTTAAACAAACTGAAGAAGATGATGATGGTACTACATGTAACAATATGGTACAAAATTTGAGTAAAAAATCAATTTTTGTTGCTCATAAAAATTTATCCAGAAAGAAAGGCTTGTTAGCAGAGAACATTTCTGAAATTCATTGTGATGATGCTTCAGAATTGGCAACCTGTTCTAACAATATTCCAGATGAGAAAGCTTATGGATTTGAGAAGAGTTATAATATTGAAGAATGCAGTGACAAATCAAGTGCAGGGAATCTGTGCAATAATAATACAGATGTTTCATCAGATACTAGGCACAAATCGATTCAAGAGACAATACCTTTGCATACTTGTAAACAGTCTTTAAAAGATGATGATTCTGATACAAGTCATTTTAGTCTTGTGAATATATTATTAAAAACGTCTAGCAATGACGATAAAGATTGCAAGGTAGATCATGAAAGTAATGAAAGTAACTTATTGACAGATGGATTAATGTCTCTGTCTTTAGATATATCCAAAGAATCGTTAAATTTGCAAAGTGCAACTTCAGCTAATTATAGTGATGCGACTAATAATACAAAAATATCTTTAAATATATTAGACAATAATAATAAGAATTTACTTGAAAATGACGGAAATGAATTACCCAGTTCATCTAAACATATTTGTAAAGAAATATCAACATCACAAGACATGGGACATGATTCATGTCATGATTCTGTGAGTCTAGGTAAACCGTTTAAACTGCCAATCTTAGAGAAAATGCCTAAAACTGCCAGTGTTCAACAATCTGAAGTTGAGGAGAATGCAGTAGCACTTTTGGACTCGTCACTTACTAGACAAAATCAATTGGAAAGAATTCGTTGCTTAGATTCGGAACCTCGTTCATCGAATAGCAGCGAGGAAAGCAATTCAGATATAGAGTTGCAACATGCGAGTATAAGTAACAATGATATCAAAAAGGTAAATAAATTACGTATCTTTTTCGCAAATTATTATTATCGATCAAGCTTTAATTAAGATTTTTCAATAAAGTTTTTTGATAAAATTTTCATTAAGAATTGACAACATTGTTAAGTTTCTTGTACTAATTATTATTATTATGACTCAAAAACATTTTCTTATAAACATACATTAACAGATAGACATTCTTGGCTTTCTTTATCGTATTTGATATATTCACACTTACGGGTCGTGTTTATTCTTATTCTTAGATAAACATTTGTTTTGTAATGGTCGTCTCAAAAGATCGCGCTGATAAGTGAAAACAATGTCTCACGCCATGCTTAGTGCCGAGACACTACTTACCTCTCCAGATAATTACTAACATACTATTGAAGTGGAATAGTCATTTGTGACTTAAATATTTCTTTTGAGCTTCAAAGTTCTTTTGAGCGGTTTAGTTTTCTGGATTTGTAACGGTCATCTCAAAGAATATCGCGCTAATAAGTGAAAATAATTACTAATATACCATTGAAGTGGAATAATCATTGGTGATCATTTATGAATCATAAATATTTCTTTTGAGCTTCAAAGTTCTCTTGAATGGTTTACTTTCCTAGATTTTGGCATCCTTGTACTTTCAGAATGAATTTTTTTTGTTTTTTTTTTATCTTTTGCATTCCTTTTCTTTGGTCTTTCTCTTTCTAATAAATAGAACCGTTATTATATGAATGAATAGAATTTATTATTCTGCAGCATATAATATAGCCAAGAAAGGGACTTGATTTACAATCTCTTAACTTCACTCATCCATCCATACCTTACACGCGCTCTTGATTTACTATTTTACTATTTAAACTATTTTACTATTTTACTATCTTATCTTATTATCCGCTTATTTTTTCCCTTTTCTTTATCTAGCTCACAAAATATAAAATTGCATTACTCTATCTTAACTTATCTTATCCTACTATTAATTTGCACTACTTACACTAAATTATAATCTTATTCTTACAGCCTTTAGTTTTCCAATCTTATATTCTCCTCATCGTTTCTTCTTATCGCATAGATCTATACATTTACGCATCTATCTTATATATACTTAAAGCTTTTTCTCCCTCATCTCTCCTTATTCTTAATATTCATTCTTTCCATAATTAAAAATATTATTATAAAAACAAAACTATTTTATTTTAGAGACAGTGCAGACCCAACGGAGTTATAACAAAGGAAGGAGCAGAATATTATCAGCTGTGGCGTAGCACAGGTGGTCATTTGTCTCCCGAATCATTATACGAGACTCTCTATCCAATGCCACCACCACTTCCACCAAGAACAGCACATCGACCATTACATAGAAGCAATGCTTTACCAAGCGGAGCACCAGAGTTACCTAAACGACATCAAAGGCATCCAGCGCCATTACATCCTGAGGATTGTTTTGGATTCGAGATTGTAGACGTTGATGAAGCATCAAATCTTAAGGTTGAGATTGTTAATAACTTTATTATTATGCGATGTTGTTGCATCTAAACTATATACGGATTAATCAATGTTTCAGTTAAGGACAGCAGTTACAAAAAGTATCGCTTTATTAAGTTCACCGAGATCACACAGACAACGAGAAAGGCCAGAATTGACACTGGCTAGTCAGCTAGAGTGTCCTCCCACACCCACACATCGACCCAAACCTTTATGTCCATTGCCTGTATGCCAAACATCAAACGTATCTTTATCCTCAGAAGAACCTCTACCTCCATGTAAGTAAATATTATACTATTATGCTTATATTTCTGTTTCTGTCAGTTTCTATGCATTCTGTTCAATGTTAATTGATCAATCGCTATGTATATTTCAGCATGGGAAGCGAGAATAGATAGTCATGGCCGAGTATTTTACATAGATCACATTAATCGAACTACAACATGGCAAAGGCCAAGTTTGACGACACGTAATACTGGTTCCGATTTACGAAGACAACAATTAGACAGGCGTTACCAAAGTGTACGACGAACTATTTCGCGTCCTGATAACATAGATCGCGAAGCTAATGGTTCAAACGGCAATCTTTTTGATAATAACGAGCGACAGAATGATCGTACTGACAGAGGCGAATCTGAACTATTTGATATCAGCACAATACCACCGGTATTATTTTTAACACGGCCTGATTTCTTTACTGTACTGCAC